CAATGTTGGTTGTCAGCATTCACCAGAAATTGGGAGAAAATTGGTATAGGATTTCCTGCCTAATCGGAGAGGGGGGGGGGTCTACTAGAATACCTCCAAGGTCCCTTTCAAACTGTTTATCCTATCCTATCCTATCCATTGTTTTTGCAATGCTTATTTTAAAAAAAACCATGTTGGAACCACTATCTGCCTTCTGCATTTTTTTTTTACTCACCATACTTCACTCGGATTGCAATGAAGAACAAGAATTGCATTTGTTCCTGCTGACCCAGCTTCAAATTCCCACCCTCTTAGGTCACTCTTGTGATGGGTTGTCTGCTAAAAGGAAGCAAGGCTATGACATACCCTTGAAAGAAAACCAGGAAGCCTGTAATTGTGGAGCTTGTCTGACAAGAACAAAGAATGCTTATTGACAGAGAAGATGCAGGTTTAAAACTTGTTATGGACTCTGGGTGGTTAAAGAACTGAAAACAGTAACAAAATACCACAATTATAAGTTAGGAATAGGGATGGGCAAATAGAATATGTATTACATAACTCCAGAAGCATTCATTAGCCAAGGCTGAGGAATAGGGACGGCTAGAAACCAATAGAACAATTCTTAAGAGTGTTAATAAAATGTTTATTAGATGATATTTCTTATATATCCTGCCTTATCCCACTTTAGTCAAACTGTATAAAGCTTTCTTAATTCTATTGTTCAGGGTTCCTTGGCATTTTTGGCCAGGACGTGCTTCAACAAAAGAAAACAAAAAACCTTCACTTAGTGTTCTTCATCGGCTTCAGCAGTAGGCTCAAACCCCAAATGGGGACAACACTTGCTTAGTGTTTCTCAACCTCAACAAGTCTAAGATGTGTGGACTTCAAACACCAGAATTTTCCAGCCACCCATGCTGGATTCCAGGAGGTGAAGAGGTTGAGAAACGCTGCTCTATCTTAAGCTATTTCTCAGTATGACAGCTTGGATGACCTTCATAGAAAAGAACTTTTTAAAAACAAAATTGGGTATGTCTAGTTTAACGAAGAGAAGGACGAGGGGGGGCAAGATAGCAGTGTTCCAATATCTCAGGGGCTGCCCCAAAGAAGAGGGAATCAAGCTATTCTTGAAAGTGCCTGAAGGCAGGACAAGAAGCAACAGATGGAAACTAACCAAAGAGAGAAGCAACCTAGAACTAAGGAGAAACTTCCTGACAGTTAGAACAATTAACCAGTGGAACAACCTGCCTCCAGAAGTGGTGAATGCGCCAACACTGGAAGTTTTTAAGAAGAGACTGGACAGCCATTTGTCCGAAATGGAATAGGGTTTCCTGCCTGAGCAGGGAGTTGGACTAGATGACCTCCAAGGTCCCTTCCAACTTTATTATTATTAATAATAATTGGGAATCAGCAGAAAGTAATCATTTGTAACCCTTCCACTTCTTTGTTGAAAAGCAAAATAAAATGAAGTTCCTTCCATCTACCCCTCTTCCGTTCTTCAACAAGGAAGACGAAATAAAAGTGACTTGAATATAAGGGAGGACTGGGATCAGTTTAACAGAAACCTTCTGCTTATTCATGAGTGTAAGCATAAAGGCAACATTTATGAATTTGTGCACTTATGTTTTAATCCCTTTGGTACTGGTGGAAAACACATGGGTATAGAATAACAGATTTACACACTTGTCTGACTAAAACACAACAGAGTTGATTTTTCTTCTCCAGATGTTTCATTGGTTCATAAACAGAGCTGAAAAAAAATGCTTCAAATCAAAAATTGCCATACTGACTTTTTAAAGCCTGGACTTTTAAAGTCACCAACTCCGCAACCTTTTTATATTGTCTGCATACAGACATGAATCTCCATTTAGATCAGGGGTCTTCAAACTTGTCCCTTTTATGACTTGTGGACTTCAACTCCCAGAATTCCTCAGCCAGGCAGGAGTTGAAGTCCACAAGTCATAAAAGGGCCAAGTTTGAAGACCCCTGATTTAGATCCTCCCATCAATTCATATTATAAAAGTGTCTGTTTTGACCTTTTTCAATTCTTTGAGCTCAGGGTAATATGGACGTTGAAGATTTTTTTTTTTTTTTTTTGCAGAATGTAATTTCTTATTGGTGTAATAAATGTACGAAAATAAACAAATTACACTAGCAACAGCGCTGAATGTGCAAAATATTACAGGTAGTCCTCGACTTACAACAGTTCATTTAGTGACTGTTACAAGGGCACTGAAAAAAGTGACAAGTTACGACCGCCTTTCAGTTACCTTTCCAGCATCCCCATGATCAGGTGATCAAATTTCAGATGCTTGGCAACTGGCTCATATTTATGACCGTGGCTGTCATGCAGTCCTCTTTGGCGACCTTATGACAAGCAAAGTCAATAGGGGAAGCCAGATTCACTTAACAACCAGGTTACTAACTTACCAACTGCAGTGATTCACTTAACAATGGAGGCAAGAAAGGTCGTAAAATGGGGCAAAACTCACTTAACAAATGTCTCACTTAACAACGGAAATTTCGGGCTCAATTGTAGTCCTAAGTCGAGAACCACCTGTATTTCAAAACCTTGAGGTTCTCCCCTCGTGGCCGATGGAAAGGAGAATAGAATCAAAGCTCCGTTACTTAATGCTCTTTTGGGAAGCAGAAATCTAACCTCCTGATGAATCTATTTCTAATTCGAATGCCCTTCCTCTCATTCCTGTGGGTCCCACCCGTGGATGAAGCAATTCCTCAGCGTGTTAATTCCTACAACTACAAACCATGTTTGGTTACTAGTGCTGGGTTCTGGTCATCCTACAGGACATCCTCAAGTTACGCCTGTAATGGAGCCTGCCCATCACACTCATAACTCGTGACCATTGTAAATTGGGTCACCTCACCCACGTGACCGACCCGATTTTACATGTTTGTGGTGGTTGTCAAGTCAACACTGCAGTCATGAAGTGAACCCAGGGTTCCCCATGGATGCGGTTTTGCTGAAAACTGGAAAGAAGCGCCGGTTTTCAGGGAAACCATTTGTACAATGCAGTCACATGACCGTTGGAGACTGCAAAAGGCCGCAAACGCAACTTGGTTGTCAAGTGTCCAAAACACAATCGAGGTGATTGGGGTGGGGTAGGGGCAACCGTCAGTTTATATCAGGGTCCTAGGTATCCCTAGGGAGGTTCGTCATAACAAGAGGGTTGCTGAGGGACCAGTCCCAAGTTAAGCACTGCCTGTAGTAAATTGAGGACTGTCACAAAGTTGGAACCCAATCAGGTCGCTTGAAATTATTTACCAATGAACTTTTCAATCAACGAGCAAGCTGACAGGCCACATTTGCACACTGTGTACTGAAGTATTCGGGAATCTCCAGGAATGATCTTTCTCTTCTCTGACTCCTCTTGCCATCAAAATTGGCTAAGCCAGACATGTCAAACACTAGGCCCGGGGGCCGGATGCGGCCCACAAAGTGGTTTCATGTGGCCCACGAAGCCATCCTGGAAACAATGAGGGAATGGCCCCCGCTGCCTTGGCCCTGGCCCAAGCCGGCCGGGAGCCAATGTACAATTTTGTGGTGGCCATCTATGCTGAAATGCATTCAGTCTTAGCTCCACAAGGCCATCTAGAAACAGCGAGGAAACAGCCCTTGCTGCGTTGGCCCCGCCCCCTGGATGCATGCTGGGGAGGTGTCACCCTTTGTGAGGAATGAAGAAATGGACCATGCCTTGGCGCTTGCCCCGGTCCCACCCCCTTCTGCCAGAGACACTCAGATCTGTCCCACTCCTGTCCAGGCAGGATGTAGAGCTGGCCATGCCCACCCAATAAGCCACATCCACTTCATCCACGCCCACCCAGTAGGCCATACCCACCTTGGACACACCCATCTGCCCCCCCCCCCAAGGGCAACCGCAATGCTGATGAGGCCCTCAATGAAATTGAGTTTGACACCCCTGGGCTAAGCCATCCAGCATTCATACATGGGACTGCATTGCGTTGGGGTTTATTTCTAATCCTGTTTTGTTGAACAAACCATAGTATTTCTGTACTTGGTCATTTTTTTAGGAGAAAAAAAATTTGATGCTCAAGAATCATTCCCAAACTACACCAAGGGAGTTCTTTCTCTGGCCTGTTTAGGATGGTGTATAAAGCTGGCCAACTCTGCGCTTGGAAACTCGGTTTTCTGTTTTTCCAACCTTCTTAGGTGAGCTAGAGACACATCATGGTTAATGAAGCAGAGAAAGAATTTGCACCACTTATATAACACAAGCTTCTGCAACGTCTGCCTGCAGATGTCCAGCTCTCTTCCCAAGGGGCACTTGCTATCTCCCTGAAGAAACCACGATAACCCTTTTAAAATGCAAAATAGACCTTGCACGAGGTCTCATCCAACTTCAGCGCTCTTTGCGGTGTCTTGGGATACCTCAGCATGAAAGTATCACAAAGTCTGGCAGTCTCGCTTCCCTTGCAGATTTGGGAGTGGAGAGGAGATACTTCTGGTTTAGCTTCCTCCCACTGGCAAACGAAGCCCAAAGGGAAAGAAGGTCATTCACAAGAGACAAGGTCACACCCAGAAAACCAGATCTTTACAGGACTCTGATTGACCGGACACAACTCGGTTCCCTTCTTTCTGTGTTCTTTCTTGACCTACGCCAGTGATGGCAGACCTTTTAGAGTCCAAGTGCCCAAACTGCAACCCAAAACCCACTTATTCATCACTGGGTGCCAGGTGGGCGTGGCCCACTGGGTAGGCGTGGCTGTGGTGGTCATGGCAGATTGGGTGGGTATGGCCAAGGTGGGCGTGATCACCTCAATGTTGCTCGTGGGAAGGGACATCTGTAGGGGCCAGGCAGAGTTGGGAGAGATCCAGGGGGTCTCTGGCAGGTGGGGCGGTGGGCAGGAGGCTCATCCTGTGGGATGAGGTGAGGCAAGGCAGGGCGGGGGTGCCATTGTCACAGGGCAAGGTGAGGCAGGGGCCAGGGCAGCTGCTGCTTAACACCATAGGCCCCTGCACACAGAGGCCAATGAGCGCATAGGGATGCATCCAGCCATGTGGGACTTCAGCGAGTTAGCGGGCAGCTGGTTGAAGGGGGATGGTTGCCATCTCTGAGTGCTACCTCTGGCATGCGTGCCATAGGTTCGCCACCACTGACCTTCGCCATGGTATACCACTACTGGTAGTAGCGGAGCTTACCCGTTACAGTCATGTCATAACGGACACTGAACATGACCAACCCGATATTAAGAACCCTTTTGCCACCATCGTTAAGCAAATCATTGCATTCATTAAACAAATCTGCAGTCGTTAAGGAAACACCATTGGGTCTTAAGTAAACCAATGGCTTCCTACGGGTGCAGTTTTGCCAAGTGCTGGTTTTCAGCAAAACCTTTGCCAAATGCGGTCACGTGATCATGGGATACCGCGAATGGCTCTGTTGCCAAGTGCCCGAAATTTGGTCACATGGCCGTGGAGGGGGCCCAACCGTCACAACTCCGAACTCCAGGTTGTTAAAAGTCCCCTTTTTCAGGTCGACTGTAACTTCGAGCGAGGATTGCCTGTTACCTAGCTGTTCCTATCGCCCTACTACTGTCTTTTTGCCTAAAATGCCCATTATAGCTTCTCCCTCATGTGGATTTTCTGATGCCTGGACAGATTAGAGGAACTGGAGAACATTTTCTCGCACTCGGGGCACCCGTACGGCTTCTCGCCAGTGTGAGTCCGCATGTGCTTTTTGAGCCCTTGGCTCCACCGGAAGCTTTGTCCACACTCCGAGCAGACGTAGGGCTTCTCTCCCGTGTGCGACCTCTCGTGTTTGGCAAGCTGCGATCGCTGAATAAAACTATTCCCACAGTAGGTACACTGATAGGGCTTCTCGCCAGTATGCGTCCTTTTATGGGCAGTGAAGTGAGAACTAGAAATGAAGCACTTCCCACAGTCCGGGCACTGGTAAGGCTTCTCGCCCGTGTGTGTCCGCTTGTGCGTGGTGAGGTGAGAACTGTAAGAGAAGCATTTCCCACACTCGGCACACTGGTACGGCTTCTCCCCAGTGTGGATTCTCTCGTGCTTCCTCAGCTGGCAGCTAGAAATGAAACTCTTCCCACAGTCGGAGCAGACGTACGGCTTCTCCCCCGTGTGGGTCCTGGTGTGCGTAATAAGGTCCGACTTTTGATTGAAACTTTTGCCGCAGACGGCGCACTGGTGAGGCCGCTCTCCGGTATGAGTCCATTTATGTATCACCAGATGTCGGGTCTGACTGAAAGTTTCTCCACAGTCTGGACATTTATAAGGCTTCTCCCCCTTGTGGGTGCCCTCGTGGATCACTAACTGTGGCCTGTACCGGAAAGTCTGACCGCAGTCCAGGCAGCGGTACGGTTTCTCGCCCGTGTGAACTCTCCGGTGTCTCAGGAGGTTGCAGCGAGTGCCAAAGCTCTTCCCGCACTCGGAGCATTTGTACGGCTTCTCCCCGGTGTGAGTTCTCTCGTGGATGAGGCGCCCGATTTTATCACTGAAGGTTTTCCCGCACAACGAGCATTTATAAGGCTTCTCCCCGGTATGGAACCTCTCGTGGATAATCAGGGATTCCTTCCGGGTGAAGCTTTTCCCACAAGCTGAGCATTTGTGGGGCTTCTCCCCTGTGTGGGTTCGCTCGTGAATCACCAGGTGGGCGCGGCAGTCAGACAGCTTCCCACAATATTGGCACTTGTGCAGTTTTTCCTTCCTTGGGGGAGAGTCAAAAGTCGCCTTCATCCTCCTGCTACTGTACATTCCCTGGGGCAGGTCTGTGACTTCTCCAAGGAAGTACGGTTGATGGTCAGAGTTTCCTAGAAGAACAAGCAAGTTAGAAGGACATCAGTTATACACAAAAACTCAACTCAACTCAACTCAAGGCTCTTTGGATTGGCACTCAATGCCTGCTGATTTCATGGATTAGTCCAGGGATAGGCAACCTTGGCTCTTTTATGACTGGTGGACTTCAACTCAGAATTGGCTGGCTCAGAATTCCTGAGCCAGCCATGCTGAGGGGAAAGGGAGGTTTGCAAGCTGAGCCATGCTGGCTCAGGAATTCTGGGAGTTGAAGTCCACATCATAAAAGGGCCAAGGTGGCCTACCCCTGAAGTAGACTATAAAATAACAGTTGGAGGTCATCTAGTCCAACATCCTTGTCAAGCAGGAGATCTTATACCAGGGGTAGGCCACCTTGGCTCTTTTATGACTCATGGACTTCAACTCCCAGAATTCCTGAGCCAGCTATGCTGAGGGGAAAGGGAGAGGTTTCCAAGCTGAGCCATGCTGGCTCAGGAATTCTGGGAGTTGAAGTCCACGAGTCATAAAAGGGCCAAGGTTGCCTACCCCTGGATTAGTTGATACAGGTTTCTTGACAGCAACACAGAAACCGATCATCGTTTCCTTTTTCAGGGCACCTTTTCACCCCCTGCACAATCTAGCTTTCAGACCTTGTCTTCCCAATTTGTCTCCCATCCATGGACTCTCCAGGCTTATCCCTGCTTAGCTTCCCAGCCCAAGGAGGCCACCTGAATGCTGCCACTTGCTTGTTTGTTAAAGAGGAGAAGCGCCATTAGCGTCAGAGATGCTGGACAAACTCCTGACCTGTGTCCCAAGTTCGTGTGGCTCTTGTGGTCATCTCAAAGACCAATAGGACCAATCTGATCGCTCCGTGGCAAACCAAGGGAGAAGCATAAAGGAGATGCATAAAGAGAATATTGTGGGCAAACGCTTCCTCGCCTAAAGCAACTGAATCGCTTGGAAGAGGCAACGTATCATTATTAAGCATGCAAAATGTTACGGTGCACATTGAACCCCACAGCCAAGCATTGGCAGCTTCCTGAGCACCCCTGAACTAAAGCTGAACCACAGTTTGTATACTGTTGGCTAACTATGTTACAAAGGTATAGAAAGAGCAAGTCAACATGTACACTTCAGTGTGTTAAACTATTTTTGATAATCCCATCTGAGTGACCTCCTTTATTATTTATCACTTCTACTAGATCACCATGGCAACTATGCTCTCTCTGCTCCATCACTAGAGGCTTTTAAGAAGAGGCCGCACAGCCGCTTGTCTGAAAGGGTACATAGGATTATGTACTTCATCATCATCATCATCATCAAGTTGGAAGGGACCTTGGAGGTCATCAAGTCCAACCCCCTACTCAGGCAGGTAACCCTATACCATTTCAGACAAATGGCTGTCCAGTCTCTTCTTAAAAACTTCCAGTGTTGGAGCATTCACCGCTTCTGGAGGCAGGCTGTTCCACTGGTTAATTGTTCTGACTGTCGGGAAGTTTCTCCTTAGTTCTAGTTGCTTCTCTCCTTGATTAGTTTCCATCCGTTGCTCCTTGTCCTGCCTTCAGGCGCCTTGGAAAATAGCCTGACTCCCTCTTCTTTGGGGCAGCCCCTGAGATATTGGAAGACTGCTATAATAATAATAATAATAGTAAAGTTGGAAGGGACGTTGGAGGTCATCTAGTCCAACCCCCTGCTCGGGCAGGAAACCCTACACCATTTCGGACAAGTGGCTGTCCAGTCTCTTCTTAAAAACTTCCAGTGTTGGAGCATTTACTGCTTCTGGAGGCAAGCTGTTCCACTGATTAATTGTTCTCACTGTCAGGAAGTTTCTCCTTAGTTCTAGGTTGCTTCTCTCCTTGATTAGTTTCCCCCCGTTGCTTCTTGTCCTGCCTTCAGGTGCTTTGGAAAATAGCTTAATTCCCTCTTCTTTATGGCAGCCCCTGAGATATTGGAATACTGCTATCATGTCCCCCCTTGTCCTTCTCTTCGTTAAACTAGACATACCCAATTCTAGCAACCGTTCATTATATGTTTTAGCCTCCAGTCCCCTAATCATCTTTGTTGCTCTTCTCTGTACTCTTTCTAGAGTCTCAGCATCTTTTTACATCGTGGTGACCAAAACTGGATGCAGTATTCCAAGTGTGGCCTTACCAAGGCATTGTAAAGTGGTATTAATACTTCACGTGATCTTGATTCTATCCCTCTGTTAATGCAGCCTAGCACTGTGTTGGCGTTTTTGGCAGCTGCAGGGTCAAGCAGGGTCTCCTGTTTGAACAGGGGGGTGGACTAGAAGACCTCCAGGGTCCCTTCCAACTCTGTTATTCTGTATCCTGAAATTCTTCCCCCTTTGGCCACTCAGGGTAAATTCAGCTTCCCATGAATGTCTTCTTACAATGGCACTTTTTGTAGTTCCCGTGGACAGGTAGTCCTTGACTTATAACCGTTGGCTTAGCGACTGTCTGAACTTACAACAGACTTGAAAAAAAGTGACTTACAACTGGTCCTTGCACTTAACAACCATCGCAGCATCCCGATGGTCACATGACCAATATTTGGGTGCTTTGCAACTGGCTTGTAGTTGCAAGCGTTGTAGCTGCTCAGGATCATGTGATCACCATTTGCTACTCTCTAATCCACAGGAGCGTCAGAATAGGGTGGGAGGTACAACACAAACAGACGTGCAAGATTTTCTTATTATATTCAGTCTCAATTTTTTTTAAAAAGTGTTAGAGCAGTGGTTCTCAACCTGTGGGGTCGGGACCCCATTTGGGGTCAAACGACCATTTCACGGGGGTCGCCAACCAACGCAGTCCGCCATTTTTTTCCCCTTTTCCTTAGCTGTGCTGCTCCCTTTTATTCTATTGGCTTTTGAAAGCCAATAGAATAGACTCTCTTGAATAGAGTCTAATTCTATTGGCTTTCAAAAGCCAATAGGAATTATCCAGGCTGTCTCTGCCCTGCTGAGCCCACCAAAAGTCCCATTCTGCAAACAGTGCTGCACCAGTTGAGTAGTCCTCGACTTACGACCGGTTGGGGGTCACGGCATTAAAAAGGTTGAGAACCACTGTGTTAGAGTCTTCCTGTGGAGTTGATTTCTTGGTCTGGTCTATCAAATGGAGCTGATGCCCAGGGACCTTACATGGCTGAGGAGAGGCTAGAACTTGGGTATCCCCACTTTTAGCCCAGCAACGGCACCTTCGCCCCTGCAGCCCCCCAGCTCTCTAATAGGAAAACCATCCAGAGACACCCCCTACTGCACATTGGTCGCCTCCCCATCAACTGCAGGGGTAAAAAAAGCCTGCAAGGTGGTGATAAATAAATGAGGGTAGTCCTCACTTAGTGACTACAATTGTGACTGGCAATTCTGTCACTAAGATTTGTGGTGACTGGCACCTTCAAATACCCCCAAAGGCCGTGATCAGGACGTACGTTTCCGATCGATCAAGTTCTACCTACATTTACAAGATTTCATCCCCAGGTTTTTCAAAGCATTTTGGTCTACTCACCGTCTCCATCCATGGGGACCTCAACTTTCACAATATCCAATGGATCCAGTTCGGAATTGGAAGACTCATCAGGCAAGTCAGCCAGATCTTCCTATGGGTGAAACATGACGATGTCTAAGGAGATGATTGGGACACATCCTCTCACTATCAGCCAACAGCTGGCACACAAACCAGGATCAACTGGAGATTCATTTCAGCCCTTCTCGAACTCTGGCGAAATAATTTTCCAAGGCTACAAAGCCACTGGGGTTCAGGAAGCAATGATGTGGCCCAAGCCGGCTGCTTTAGAGATTGGTAAAGTCACAAGGGAAACCACAGTTTACTTGTCCAGAACAAGTTTAAAATGTCCTAATTTTAATCTCTCAGCTTGGCAATGAGGGAAATGACCATCCCTGAATCTGAGAAGAATGCCGGTCAAAACAGATCCCATTTAGCCATTCCAATTCTTTAACTGTGCATAAAGAAATGTTGTACTTTCACAGAATTTAGTACTTAACGCAGCAAATATGTGGAGGAATTTGCACGTGCAGCAAACTGCCATGCATTGCCCCCCACAAACCTCATATAACCTTTTGATACCCTTTGTCCCAAGGAAGCAGCCAAAAGATCACCCCCTTTTTGACTTAATATCTTACCTACCTAAATAAGTTCCCCCTTATCTCTTCCTGTCTTTATCTCTTCTTGTCTTTATCAGTTCTTTCTCCTTTTCTAATTTACCTGTATTTGTTTTACCTGCTCTCAACAGGTAATGTGTTACTAGAAAATAATTGCTTATATGAAGGAATTTTTTCAATTACTTTATGTCAACAACTAAAGGTTAAACTTCTAAATGTAAAATGTCAGCAGTTAATGGTAAAGCCTATGTATGTAAAAACTATATAAAAAACAATAAACTCAGAGGTGGAGAAGCTGTGTGAAGATGTGTCATGCAGCTTCAAACCTCTGCCCAAGACATGCCTGAGTCTTTTTCTTAGCATCGTTACACAAATAGATTAAAAGGATGAAACTTTAGTGAACTCCAGCCGACATCATCAGAGCTATAGAGTGGTTCGAATCATTGTAAGTTAAATTTATAACGAGGGAGAGGAAGCTGAGGAAGACAGATTGGTTATACCATTGGTGGCAAACGTAAGGCACGGGTGCCAGAGGCGGCACTCAGAGCCCTCTCGGTGGGCACGCACACCGTCGCCCCAGTCCTAGGCCTTCAGCTGGGTTTTATAAAACCTTTTTCCTTTAGGCCTCCGCCGCCATGTGCAAAAAAAAAAAAAAGAGAGAGATTCAATCAATCAGTCAATTTCAACTTCTTCTCGTGGGAAAAAAAAGATCTTGCAAAGTTGGAATTGATTGGTTGAACTTTTTAGTCCCACCCAGTCTGCTGTTACCACCGCAGCCACACCCACCCAATGGGCCATACCTACTCAATAGGCCATACCCATCCGGCACCCGACAATGCATAAGTGGGTTTTGGGTTGCAGTTTGGGCATTCAGTCTCTAAAAGGTTCGCCATCACTGGGTTATACAAATGCAGCCCAGGTTATGGGTATCTTAACAATTGTGTTAGAAACTGACTCTTTGTGTTCAGGCTTCTCTTTAGCACAGTGGTTCTCAACCTGTGGGTCGGGACCCCATTTGGGGTCGAACGACCATTTCACGGGGGTCGCCAAACAACGCAGTCTGCCATTTTTTTCCCCTTTTCCTTAGCTGAGCTACTCCCTTTTAATCTATTGGCTTTTGAAAGCCAATAGAATAGACTCTCTTGAATAGAGTCTAATTCTATTGGCTTTCAAAAGCCAATAGGAATTGTCCAGGCTGTCTCTGCCCTGCTGAGCCCACCAAAAGTCCCATTCTGCAAACAGTGCTGTACCAGTTGAGTAGTCCTCGACTTACGACCGGTTGGGGGTCGCGGCATTAAAAAGCTTGAGAACCACTGCTTTAGCAGCACCACAGAGTGAGATTTTGCTGAACTCCCATACAGCAAAAGACTCCAGCCATCTCAAAAGGTCTCACTTTTTTTAAAAAAAAAAGGATATTGATAAGATTGAGCGAGTTCAGAAACAGGCAACAAAAATGGTGCAAGATCTGAGAGACAAAAGGCACCAGGAGAGATGGGAGGAACTGAATATCTACTCCTGCCTGAAGGATAGAAGGGAAAAGAAAGACATGATTGAAAGCCTGAAATATATTAAGGGTGTGAATAAGATTCTAAGAAGCGGTCTCTTCAACATTAAGCAAAAAATCAAGATCCTGGGGGACATAACCACAACAGACAGGGGGAAAGTTCAAATAATAGAAAATATTATTTCACAGAAAGAGTAATGGATGCTTGGAACCAACCTCCAGCAGAGGCCACGGTGGGTCAATCATCAGTAACTGAGTTTAAACATGGGTTTAATACAGGTCAGTCATCTGACAAAAATTAAAAAATAACTCAAAGGACAAACTCGATGGACCACTAGATCTTCTTGTGCCGTCGGTTTTCTATGTTTCTATGTCTCAACAAACACACTGGGTTTATCACATTATTACAATTGCTCTTTGATAAGGAAGTTTTTAACCAGCTTCTCAAGCCTGTTTCACCAAAACTTAAAAATTAAGTCATGCCAGACATCCGATTATGAGCTGCAGCTCACAAAGGCTGATGTCTTTTAATAAAAAGTGCTAGATGGAAAGGCACCTACCAGAGCATTTTAGGATGCTTTTTTGTCATTAAAAACACTCTCATGGCAGGCTATAGGACAGTCCAGTGATGGCGAACCTTTTAGAGACTTAGTGCCCAAACTGCAACCCAAAGCCCACTTATGCATCATCGAGTGTCGTGTGGGTGTGGCCCATTGGGTGGGCTAGGCAGCCCATTGGGTGGGCGTGGCTGCGGTGGTAACGGCAGACTGGGTGGGACTAAAAAGTTCAATCAATCAATTCCAACTTTGCAAGATCTTTTTTTTCCCCCACGAGAAGTTGAAATTGATGGATTGATTGAACCTCTTTTTTTTTTGCACACGGTGGCGGAGGCCTAAAGCGAAAAGGTTTTATAAAACCCAACTGAAGTCCTAGGACTGGGGCGACGGCGCGCGTGCCCACGGAGAGAGTTGAGTGCCGCCTCTGGCACCCGTGCCATAGGTTCGCCACCGGTGGGACAGTCCTTGACTTACAACAGTTAGTTTAGTGACCGTTCAAAGTTGTAACAGCCACTGCAAAAAGTGACATGTGATCATTTTTTTGACACTTACGACCATTGCACCATTCCCATGATCACATGATCAAAACTCAGACACCTTGGCAACTGACTCATATTCTGTGACAGTTGCAATATGCCAGAGTCATGTGATCCCCTTTTGTAACGTTCAGGCAAGCAAAGTCAATGGGGAAACCAGATTCTCTTAATGAACGTGTTACTAACTTAACAACCGCAGTGTTTCACTTAACAACTGTGACAAACAAGTGGGGCAAAACTCACTTAACAAATGTCTCACTTAGCAACACAAATTTCGGAGCTCAGCTGTGGCTGTAAGCCGAACTCTACAAGGCTGCCCAACATGACAAGGATCCACGCTCACCCTCTGCTCATCTCCTGATGGGAGCCTCCAAAGGAAGTCCTCGGCCAACGTCACCACCTGGCTCCCCGTTTCCGGACAGTGTTCCCGAACCCAGTTCTGCATTTCCAGTGGCAGGATCATCAGGAACTGCTCCAAAACCACCAGCTCCAATATTTGCTCCTTAGAATGACGCTCTGGCTTCAGCCACTGGCAGCAGAGGTCCCAGAGTTGACCAAACACTTTCTGAGGCCCCTCAGCTTCCTCATAGCAAAACTGCCGGAAGCGTTGGCATCGCAGTGCCATGTTGAGCTTGCCCTCCTCCACCAATTCTTCCTTCACTTCCACTGGGGAATCCAGGCCTTCGTAGAATTCGGGAAAGCCCAGGCCTGGCAAAGTTTCAGACGCAGTTTTTCTTCTGAAGGACCATTGATGGAAATCAGTCTTTTTGCTAAAAGGAGGCCTAGTGTTATTCTCTGGGGAGGATTGAGAAGATGGAGAGTTTCTTCCATCCAAGGATGGAGCCTTCAGAGCTTCTCTTTTCTGGATCTCACAGAACTGGTCCATCCCTTCTTCTGGTTCTTGCTTAATCTGAGACGTAGTGAAGCCCTTCAGATATTCCTGTGTTGCCGCAATTGGGACGCTTCCCCTCACTCTTTTTCCTGTCTGGGATCCTGGCAAGTCCTGTACTTCCATCTTTCTTTCTGGCAGGAATAGAAATTATAATAATTACTTATGCACAAAAGGGAAGCCGAGGATCCATAAAGGTCTGTCCACCCCCACCCCCCACCCCCATGTTTCTTGCTGATCTGGAGCCAATTGTCTTTCTGCAAGCATTCTGAAAATCCAATAGAGCAGTGGTGGTGAACCTATGGCACGCATGCCAGAGGCGGCACTCGGAGCCCTCTCTGTGGGCACACGCACCGTCGTCGCAGCCCCACCTCCTCACCAGCAGCCCCCCTGGAGGAGAGCCACCCCTGGTAGAGGCCCACATGAAGCAGCACAGCCAAGGACATGGTAGCCGTGCAATGGGGACCAGACTCCGCCCTTGCAGCCCGTCATGCACATCTGATGCTGTGGGGCATGGGCAGAGGGCGTGGCTGCCATGGCGCTGCCTTGATCTGTGGCGGGTTGTGGAGGTGGTGGGTGGCCCAGCGGGCAGAGCAGGGACGGGGAGGGGGGGCAGTTTTTGGGCACTCGATCTCTAAAAGGTTCACCATCACTGCGATAGAGAATAAATAATACATAATCCTTGGGGAACCGCTTTAAAGCTTGGGTTAATTTAATTGCATCACTTAAAATTTAATTAGTTCAAATCAACGTAGTTACTTCAATTTACCGAATGGTTAGAACAGTATATGCAATTTATTAAATTTATCCCTTCCAGCTCTATTCTATTCTAAACTTTGCAAAGCAAAGACTGGGGGCCCCAAAGGGAAAGTGACCCGCTGTAAAAAGCCCACCTCCTCGCTCTCCCCCCCCCAGGAGTCTCCCCTTACCTTCTTGCACCTGGGAATTCCCTCTCCTCCCCCTCCTCCCCCCTCCTGCTCCCCTCCCCCTCTTGCAGCGTCCTTGCCCACCTGGCTCCCCTTGCGCGCCCCTCCCCGCGAGGAGAATCTCCGCAATCCTGAATTAAGAGGCGTCTGAAGACCAGGAAGGGGGCGGCGGGAAGGGCAGGAAACTGGCTCCCAGATCCCCTTCCCCCCCCCTTTTCCTGCCTCCTCTCTAGGCGCAAAAAGAAAAGCTCTCTGCGTTTAACCCTTTCGTTGAAGCCGGGGCGGGGAGGGGGCGACTGGGGCGCCGCCGGGCATTGCTAAAATCCTCCAATCGGGCCCCGCCGGAGAGGCTCGTCCTTATCACCACCACCACCCCCCCCCCCAAGAAAAGCCAAAGAAACTGAAAATCACTGCAATTTACAAGAACCTTGCATGCGCTAATCCGCAACTACAATAGGTGCAAATTAGGAATCTTGAAGATGGGCGAGGCAGCCCTGCAGATGTCATTGGACTACAAGGCCCACCATCCTTCACCCATGCAATTCTTGGGCTGCAGATGCTGCCATTTGCTTGAATATCGAACCTTTACACAATGTGTCAGGAGGAGTCTGGTAGCTCCTTTTCTGACGGATTGTATTAATAGGCGCAGCTCCTGCGAGCCTTTTCACAAAATCTCTTAGTCTGCAAGGGGGCAATTCGATGCCTTCTGATTTTTGGCCGCTTTAGATGCCCAGGGTCTCTTCACAATCATGCGGGGGGGGGGTGTCCCTTGTTCTGAGTAGGAGGATCCATTTCCTACCTTTCTTCTCCCACTTTAAGGGTTTTCATTTTTCAACGTTGTTGCACCCCAAGAACAAACAGATTCCCCTTTTTTCTGGTGGAATTACATACACCCAAAGATGAAAGGAAACTAGGCACAGGTGTGATAGGACTGTACAATAGTGCTGTATCACATTGCCAACCTAACTGAGGAAACTTAATGCAACCCTTTTCATGAACTGAGATCAGGAATAAGGGGGGGGGAGGGAGACTTCACATGGGAACATTATCTCTAATTGCACTAATTTTCATAGATTTCAGACAGGGAGGAGTGGCAAAAATTAGAAGGACACAAAGTACAGAATGATACTTATTTCTGGCTTGATTGACAGCAGCATATTTAGTACTCAGGGCGGTTTGAAACAGCCATTATCTGATTTCTTAGCATTTCTCTTTTGTTACTAATGTAGTCTGCATTAAAACTCCTGTTTATAGTTCATTGTGTCAGAAACACAAGCTTTTGGAGAAGCACCCCTCCCTGAAGATGCTCATAACTTTGTAATTCTATCATTACAAAATATGGCTTTAAAGAATTATATATTTGTGTTGGTGAATAGAGAGAGAGAGAGAGACGATAGATAGATAGATAGATAGATAGATAGATAGATAGATAGATAGATAGATAGATAGATAGATAGATAGATAGAGTGGGAAGAATCCAGATAAAGAAATATTTTGGGAAATATTAAAAAGGCAGAATATGTTTCTCCAAAGCAGTGGTTCTCAACCTTTTTAATGCCGCAACTCCAACCGGTCGTAAGTCAAGGACTACCCAACCGGTCGTAAGTCGAGGACTTTCCCTGCCCGGGAGCGCCGTGCATGCGTGGTGCCGCCCCCTGCGCCGGCCGAGACGGCGCAGGCCGACCACCGGCTGGGCCACCAGCTGGCCCAGCCCAAGGGAGGTAAGGCACCCGCCGGGCCCCACGCACGCCAGCAACCCTTCTTGTGCCCACCGGCCTCCCACCTCCCACCCCTGGCCCTCTTTTACTTACATTTTTAGTAGTTGCTCAGCAGGGAGGAGTGGAAACTTCCAGACAGCTCGCCTTCGCTGCAGATAACTTGCAGCACCGTTTGCAGAGTGGGACTTTTGGCGGGCTCAGCAGGACAGAGACAGCCTGGACAATTCCTATTGGCTTTTGAAAGCCAATAGAATTAGACTCTATTCAAGAGAGTCTATTCTATTGGTTTTCAAAAGCCAATAGAATAAAAGGGAGTAGCACAGCCAAGGAAAAGGGGGAAAAATGGTGGACTGCGTTGTTTGGCGACCCCCGTGAAATGGTCGTTCGACCCCAAATGGGGTCCCAACCCAGAGGTTGAGAACCACTGCTCCAAAGGAATAATGGAGAAGATCTTTAAAAAGGCAGAAACATCTTCCTCCCCCCAGCCAGAAAACTAGGCAGAGGCCAGGTTTTAGAAATGCAAATTCAATAATCCTTTCAGAAAGGTTGAAGCTAAAAACTGAAGAGATTAGGAAGACAAAGACCCCTAAAATCTACATACACCACCCAAACTCTAAAAACATGACATAATAGGATTAACCCACCAATACCAAAAGGGCGCATTCAGACTCAGATCAAAGTACATGACACAGGAAATACAAAGCCTCAAAGAGGAACAGGAAACAACCTCAAGAGCCCCAGAAGGTATAAAAACCTACCACTCCCAGCAACATGTGGTCAGTTTTCCCAGAGCCAAACTTCTGTCTGGCTCTTCTCTTCAATAAACTCCAACCTTCTTACTAAAGCAGTCTCCATTTTGTTTATTACCAGCTTGGACTGGATCCTGATGAAGGCTTTTCTTTCAACAATAGGTAGTCTAATCTTTTCTTAAAAACCTCCAGAGATGGAGCATCCACAATGCCATGAAGTAAACTGTTCTATTTATTAATCACCAGTATTGCTTCCAAATCACATTTGAATAGAAGATATTATCTTTCCATTTGCATTCTTGCAGAGTCAAGAGCTTGCTAGAGGGCAGAATTGCTAGCAGCCTTCCCAAATTTCCAGATGGGTTAGAGTTCGGTCTTATTGTCCCAAACAGCTTGAGCAGAACACTTAGAGCAGTGGTTCTCAACCTTTTTAAATGCTGCGACCCCTCCCCCCCAACCGGTCATAAGTCGAGGACTACTCAACCAGTCGTAAGTCGAGGACTGCTCAACTGATGCAGCACCGTTTGCAGAATGGGACTTTTGGCGGGCTCAGCAGGGCAGAGACAGCCTGGACAATTCCTATTGGCTTTTGAAAGCCAATAGAATTAGACTCTGTTCAAGAGAGTCTATTCTATTGGCTTTCAAAAGCCAATAGAATAAAAGGGAGTAGCACAGCTAAGGAAAAGGGGGAAAAAATGACGGACTGCGTTGTTTGGCGACCCCCGTGAAATGGTCGTTCAACCCCAAATGGGGTCCCGACCCACAGGTTGAGAACCACTGACTTAGAGGCTACTAATCTGCAGAAAACAGATCGAAAGATTCCTGTGCTTTGGTAGGAGCGATTCTCAGTGGAGATCAAAATCTCTCTACATTCTTAAAACCTTGTGACTGATTTCCTGTGGCTGTCAAGATTTTAAGACACAGCAGCACATCAGCCCAGAAGCTCAAAGGGAGCCAGCTTCACTCATGCTGGCCAAGAATGACTTTAAGCCTGCCCATATATCTTAAAGCCGATGTTCCCAACAAGCCAGATTTGCTCCTGGAGGATATTTTAAATCTGTTAAATGCTAAATGTCATGTGCTTCTGTAAGTTCCCTCGAGAAAGGAGTCTTTCTTAGGTAAAATTGAGAGACATATGCAGCAAAGCCAAGAGAAAGGCGGCTGAGAAAGAGCAGATGTTTCTCTATATATGATAAATGTTTCCAAAAAGCACTTCGAAGGGTTGTAAAAAGGTTGGTAATACAGATGTGCATGCAAAAGTATATAAAAGTCGTCCCGCTCTTTGATTGATACATTTTTTTTAATTAGAAATTTTTAATCTAATAAATACAAAGGTAGCCAGAAAATGGGAAGCCAGAAAATGGGATCTGTCGCTAGGTGGCGCTGTATAGATCAGCAAGGCTGGCGATTAAGGAACTGTCAACGCAAAGGCGGCATCGGTAATTGAAAAGGGGTTTTTAAACCATAGAGTATTAAATTGGTAGAGAGGACGTCGGAGAAGACGAGAAAGAGGGTAGAAGAATGTCTTCCGGTTCAGCAATGGGAATGTGGTGGTGTAGTTGGCTCTCCTGCTTTTCCTAGGGTCGAAGCTGCTACTGGAAGGTGAGTCGGAGGAGAAGCCGGGACCAAGTGGGGCTGTTTGGTTTCCTCCACGGTGTAGAAACAGCGAAGCAACTAGGCTGAAACGTGTCAGGTGCTGCATATTTTATAAATAAAAGTAAATTCTACTCCATTAGTGCTGCATGCTTCAAAAGCGGCGCCTGCAATTTTCTCGTGGTTGGAAGATTGACAAAGTCTCCAAGTTAGGTTTGATGCCTTGTGATTTTATGGAGGTTGTTTTCTTGGCAACAAGATGAGGCTGATCTACTATTGCTCTCTTCTGGGATTGGTTTCTTTCTTACTTCCATGTCTAGCTAATAAACACTGGATTTCCCCGTGGTGCCCCATCTGTGTATTAACCAGGTTCAACTGTGCTTAACCCAGCACTTTTTTAAAAATAGCTTTTGAACATTTGGAATTTTCAGTTGTATACATAGTCCTAGCTTACTACTTTTTCACTGCCCCATCAGAGATACAGTGGCACTGAACAAGGAAATATTCCACTTGTCTTCAAAGTTGTGGCTGTTGCAGTTATTTGGGTGCTGGCACTGGCTTGCAGTTGCAACAGTTGTAATGTCCCACAGTCATGGAATTGCCATGAGTGGGACCTTCACAGCTGATTTCCAACAAACAAAATCAGTTGGGAAACTGACAGAAAGTTGCAACTCGCAGTCATGTTACATTGCACATAACAACCCATGGTGATTTGCTTAATGATCGCAGCTAGAACTGATGTTATAAATTGTCACTATAATGTGATGTCTTGGTTAATGACCACAGTTTAAAAGTTACCTGTCAGTAGTTGTGGTGGTCAGTAAGTGAGGACAACCCATATTGTGGTGTCACCAGAGTGTTTAAAGCCTCCCACCATTCTAAAATTATAAAATATTTTATAAAAACCCATTTCAGGTGTAGAAATGTGTGACTGACCCTAGTCAATAAATGAATCTCATGACTCACTGAATATTTGAAGTTGGTCTCACTATGTTGCCGGCAATGGGGTGGGTGTGGTTTCCCGATGATGCGGCCGGGCCTGCACTAGACTTATAGACTTATATAAACAGATAATGAACTTTAAGTAATGTAAGAGATTTTATTAACATTGTAGCATGTTTGCTTCATAATTGTAATTTATGCTTTGTTCTCATGTTGACTAACCATTTTGTAAACCACAATTAAACTAACCCTCTTGTGTGAATTTTATAGACAAAGAGGATGGCAATAAGTACTCTGGACAACTGAGAATAACAAGCATCATTGAAAAGGAAAGAAAATCAAGCCAACAATCAAAACCTTTTCCATTTCCTCAAGAAAACCACAGATTTTTCTTCAGTAGCAGGTTGAGAGAAAAAGGAAGAAAATCATGAAAAGAATATTGAACTGGACAAAGTAGAGTATGTGGAACTCAAGGAAATACTTCATGAAAAGATCAAGGGGATTTATTTCCAAATTCAAAAAACATGGGAAGTCAGTGGGAAGGAAAAGATCGCTTGGATGGCCATATAGGGTGGAGAGTACTGCAGGCTTCACCCGTGAGGAAGGAAACAGTAGCTTGAGTCAAAACTCCATCCAACAAGGAATCCAAAGAATTTTTAACTTCCTTGAGAATCCAAGAATGCCAATGGTGGAAAAACACCATAGATATGCATATTGTGGGAAAAGCATGGATAGTAAATCACAGTTGATAATACACCATGTATGAATGTCCAGTTTGTGGGAAAAGTTTCAGTCAGAATTCCAGTCTCATGATACACCAGTGGACACATACAGGAGACAAACCATATGAGTGTCCAGAATGTGGGAAAGGTTTCCGTCAGAATTCCCACCTGGTGATACACCAGAAGATTCACACAGGAGAGAAACCATATGAGTGTCCAGATTGTTCAAAATGTTTCATTCGGAATTGTGACCTGGTGATACACCAGAGGACACACACAGGAGAGAAACCATATGAGTGTCTGGATTGCGGAAAATGTTTCAGTCAGAATTTTGACCTAGTGATACATCAGAGGACTCACACAGGAGAGAAACCATATGAGTGTCCAATTTGTGGAAAAAATTTCAACTGGAATTCACACTTGGTGGTACATCAACGGACTCACACAGGAGTGAAACCATATGTGTGTCCAGATTGTGGAAAAAGTTTCAATTGGAATTCGCATTTGGTGGTACACCAGCGGACTCACACAGGAGAGAAACCATATGAGTGTCCAGATTGTGGAAAAACTTTCATTCGGAATTCTGACCTAGTGAGACACCATGCAACACACACAGGGGAAAAACCGTATGAGTGCCTAATTTGTGGAAAAAAATTCAGTCGGAATTTTTACCTGGTAATACACCAGAAGATTCACACAGGAGAGAAACCATATAAGTGTCTGGAGTGTGGGAAAGGTTTCAGTCAGAATTCTTCCCTGGTGATACATCAGAGAACTCACTCAGGGGAGAAACCTTATGAGTGTCTGGATTGTGGAAAATGTTTTAGTCAGAATTCCAGCCTGGTGAGACACCAGAGGAGTCACATAGCAGACAAAGTATATGAATGCCCAGATTGTGGGGAAGGTTTCTGTCTGAATTCCCACCTGGTAATACACCAGAAGATTCACACAGGGAAGAAACTGTATGAGTGTCCAGATTGTTGGAAATGTTTCCTTCGGAATTCTGAGCTGGTGATACACCAGAGGACTCACACAGGAGAGAAACCGTATGAGTGTCCAGACTGTGGGAAAGATTTCAGTACTAGGTCTAACCTTATAAATCATGTGCGTATACACACAGGGGAGAAACCATTTACGTGCCCTGAGTGTGGACGATGCTTCAGGAAACATTCCACCCTTATCGCACACAAGAAAACCCACATTAGGTCCAAAGTGATGAGTGTAGAGAAGGCTTGAATTTCATTTCTAATGTCTGACTGTAATTCTGCAAAAATCTTTGTAGCGTGTCCTTTGCATTTTTATCATGATAGATGATAGCAATATCACATGCAGAGTCCCAGCCTTCTTCTACCTGGATGTCCTTGAGATTTTGAGCCGCGGAATTCCCCAGCCAGCATTCTCCTCAGGATAGGAGCACTAACACAGACTATAGAGATTGTGGCTCCTCACATAATGAGAAAGCGAGAGGAGAAGTAGAGCTGGGTCAAAGTTCATCTTTTACTAACTGTTCCAGGAATTCGGTGCACCAAGCATGTCTGTTCAGATTGGGTCAAGAATGAGGCCGGCAAGTGGAAGAAACCATATGAGTACTAAATATATTGGAGGAGTTTGGGGCAGTGACAGAAGCAGTGTAAAATTTCAGATGTAAAGGCTGTTCTGCCTTGCAGGTGACCTTCGTGGAGAAGAGCTGTAGGAACACTGAGTTGAGGAGAAAAGGGATTGTGGTTTTGAGCACAGAATCTCCAGGTTTATTCGCAACTCCTGCTGTGATCTCCTTTGTTTTTAGAGGCCTCCTGGTTAGCCTTTGACGGCGGGTGTGTGTGTGTGTGTGTGTGTGTGTAAGAGCAGCACCAGGAGGCTGATACTTTTGTGGTTCCCCCTCCCTTGTAGAGAAATGTGAGGGGGAAAATGGTACAGTAGATAATGTTTCATTTCTAAAACAGCATTGCATAAGAATCATGAATAGCTTTTGGGAAAGAAAAAAAAAGGAAGGTGTCAGCATTTCTGTAAACATTGGGACAGGGTAATGCAAAGCTCTCTTCTCAACACATGGGAGACATTTCCTCTTCTTTCCCTTCTATCCTAGGGCTCCTTAATTTTTTTTTTTTTTTAAATCCTTCAAATAAAGAGGGGAACATCATTTGTAGCAGCAGAAGTGAAGCTTTAGCTATGTAGATGAATGATCTTGATTTTGCTGGGATTAGAAGACACCAAAGGATTCCAAGATTGTTTATTTCAAGCTCTGGAGGGGAGTCAAAAGTTGCCTTCTTCCTATAGCAGTGGTGGCGAACCTATGGCACGCGTGCCAGAGGCGGCACTCGGAGCCCTCTTAGTGGGCACGCGCGCCATTGCCCCAGCCCTGCCTCCCCCCACGGCCCCCTCATCAGCAGCCTCCCCTGAGGAGAGTCGCCCCCAGGCACACCCCGCATGGAGCAGCACAGCCAAGCACATGGCAGCAGGAACAAGACTCCACTCTCGCGCCCCGTTGCATGTAGATGATGCTGCGGATCGCGGGCAGAGGGGATAGCCGCCATGACGCTGGGCCGCCTGGGCAATCTACGGCGGGCTGTGGAGGCGGTGAGTGGTCCTGCGGGCAAGTAGGTTGGGGGCGTAGCGGGGGCAGGGACGGGACGGGGCGATTTTGGGGCACTCAGTCTCTAAAAGGTTCACCATCACTGTCCTATAGCAAATGTACAACAGGAGCGTGCACGCACACACGCACACTGTAGGGATCCTGCACGCTCTTTGGAGAGGAGTCAAAACTCGCCTTCCTCCTCCTCTTCCTCCTGCTGTACGTTCCCTGGGGCAGGTCTGTGATTTCTCTGAGGAAACACCAACACAATTCAAAAAGAAAGGTTATAATTATTTTGGGGAAGGTCACATTGCATATGATCCCTTTGAAGGACACCCAGGAACCAAGAGCAGGCTAGCCATGTGGAAAAACCAAGAGGCTCTTGGCCTAAGTCTCAAGTCTAAATGACCTTGAATTTAAACATGTGCAAAATTTCTAACCTTTCAAATAGTAAAATTATATTTAAGCAATTCTCTGTCTTTGGTGTCATATTTTAGTGCACCTCTCTATCATGTCTCATTGGAAACCCTTGCAATGATCCCAAAGCCTCTGAATCTCTTACAGGGCTATATAAAAATACCAAGCAAAATTAAATAAAGCCAATCTAAGAATCGGAGGGACTGGTCTATAGGGTGAGTTCAAAAGCATAAGTTCCCAATCGGAAGAACAGTCCATTTCCTCCAGAGTTTGAAGCTCAGATTGAAAGATGTAAAATATGTTATATTTCATATTCTATAGCAGTGGTTCTCAACCTTTTTAATGCCGCGACCCCCAACCGGTCGTAGGTCGAGGGCTACTCAACTGGTGCAGCACCGTTTGCAGAATGGGACTTTTGGCAGGCTCAGCAGGGCAGAGACAGCCTGGACAATTCCTATTGGCTTTTGAAAGCCAATAGAATTAGACTCTATTCAAGAGAGTCTATTCTATTGGCTTTCAAAAGCCAATAGAATCAAAGGGAGTAGCACAGCTAAGGAAAAGGGGGGAAAAATGGCGGACTGCGTTGTTTGGCGACCCCCGTGAAATGGTCGTTCGACCCCAAATGGGGTCCCGACCCACAGGTTGAGAACCACTGTTCTATAGCAAATCTACAACAGGAGCACACACACACACACACACACACACACTACACACTATAGTTTGTAGGGACCCTACAAGCTCTGGAGGGAAGTCAAAAGTTGCCTCCTTCCTATAGCAAATGTACAACAGGGGCAAGCACACACTGTAGTTTGTAGGGACCCTGCAAGCTCTTTGGAGGGGAGTCAAAAGTCACCTTTCTCCTCCTCCTCCTGTACATTCCCTGGGGCAGGTCTGTAACTTCTCTGAGGAAACACTGTTGATGGTGAGAGCCTACCAGAACAACCAGCCAGTTAGGAGGACATCCATTATGCTGCAGAAAAAGTCAACTCAGGTCTCTGGAGTGGTGATTTAATGCAGAGGTTCTTAACCTTTTTGAACAAATTGCCCCCTTGAGCCAATGAGGAAGTTGTCATGGCCCCCCCTCCCCCAACATAACCTCTCAATCACAACATAGGAAACAATTCTTCAATTTATGCAAACACTTATTTTGTTTTCTTTAAAATTGTCATCAGGACATATCGATGCAAATAATTTATTTCCAGTCTTTTCCCCATATCTCCCATATTCTGACCAATGATGCACCACTGTATGGGTAGAGGCTGCTGCACAACGTGCATGAAGATAAGCGATGCATATTCACGTATGTACGGTGTTCTGTACTGAAGCTAGCTGGAGGAACCTTTGGAAACACAATTCAATCCACTAATAGCGAGCGATCTGATGTTTTTGTACAACAGATATACAGCAATTCACTGTACGAAAAAGTCTCAAAAGTGTCCCCAAAACTTCTTGCTCCGTCGCCCCCTTTTCGTTCCTTTGCCCCCCTGAAAAATGAAATCACCCCCTGGGGGCAATATTGCCCAGGTTAAGAACCACTCATTTAATGGATTAGTCATTACAGGTTTCTTGACAGCAATACACAAACTCATTTCCTTCAGGGTGGTTTTTTTTTTCGCTCTCTTTCCTACTCTCTCACATACACACAAACACACACATATCCCTTGGGACATCGCAAACCTCTCAATGAGAACAACTCCCTAGCAGCCAATGGAGAGGAAGAGAGAGAGAACGGGGAGAAGCATGAAGATTCAACATACTGTATATCAAGCCCGCAAACAATCACTGTGCACACTGAATTCCGGCAAAGCACTGGCAGCTGGCTGAGCAGCCCTGACCTAAATCGGAACCGCAGCTTATATACCGTTGGCCCATTACATTAGAAACAGGCAGGCACCCTGTAGAGCAGAGGTCCCCAGCCTTTTGGGCACCAAGGACCAGTTTCGTGGAGGGAGGTTTTTCCACGGACCCGAGGGGGTGTGGTTTTTGTGTGCTGCCTGCATCCTGTGGGTGGGGCTTTGCTTGCTTGTGCGGCCCGGTTGCTGGCATGTCGCAGCCCGGTACTGGTCTACGAGCCAGGGGTTTGCAACCCCTACTGTAGAGTACATCTTGATGTTGGAATATTTTTGATAGTCCCATTTGGGGTTCACCATGTATCCCTGCCTTCAAGGTCAGCGTGGCAACAATCTAAACACTTTGACCCACTGGTCCTTTCTGATTCTTTCTGTACTGTGCCCATTCAGGCCTAATTCAACTTGCTGTCCATGTTTTACTTACAATAAGACTTTATGGAGTTCAGAACTATTGGGCTGCTGGCGAATGCAACGCAGTGGTCTGAATGGATAATCACTGGCGACCTTCCATGATTGAGTGGAGAACACAAACTGTTATCTCCCTGCTCCTAGCCCAGCACTGTCAACCACCCTATCCTATGACCAGAGGGCCCCAGTGCGCAGACTGAAGAAAATGGCCTTGGGTAGGGGTAGGCAACCTTGGCTCTTTTATGATTCATGGACTTCAACTCCCAGAATTCCTGAGCCAGCCCTGGAGAAAATTAAGGAGAAAATTCCTAACAATGAGGACAATTAACCAGTGGAACAGCTTGCCTTCAGAAGTCATGGGTGCTCCATCACTGGAGGTTTTTAAGAAGAGACTGGACAGTCACTTGTCTGAGATGGTATAGGTCAGGGGTAGGCAATCTTGGCTCTTTTGTGCAGTGCTTTTTTTGTAAAAAAAAAAAAAAAAAGGTGCCGGAACTCAACACACGTCATACAACCTGCCTTGCCTACCCTACAGGGTTCCATCCAAAAAAGGTGCCCGAACTCCATTCTGGGCGTTCTATGACAAAAAAAGCCCTGCTTTTGTGACTTGTGGACTTCAACTCCCAGAATTCCTGAGCCAACATGGCTCAACTTGGAAACCTCTCCCTTTCCCCTCAGCATGGCTGGCTCAGAAATTCTGGAAGTTGAAGTCCACCAGTCATAAAAGAGCCAAGGTTGCCTACCCCTGGCCTTGGGAGAGATGCAATCTCTATTACTAAAGTGATAAAGGGAAAACATCTCCCAGGTCTGACAGCACAGAGATCCTTTAATTTACCTTTTTGAATCAGAAGAGAGCTGCTACCATACCTTGGAGGTCTTCTAGTCCAACCCCCTGTTGAAGCAGGCTTATTTAGGTCTTATTTAGAAGAGATGCAATCAGACACCTCCCTAATTCACAGGAGTATAGGAAGGGGGGGAAGAAGGCTCAAAGAAAATACAGAATTGCAATGTTCTCTCATTACATCCAGTTTCAATTAAAAAAAGTTTAAGAGTGTTCTACAATTGATCCTTGACCTGCATACATACAACATTATTTCCCTATCTGTATTATTGGGGAGCCTGAATTTTGCTAGAGTAGTCTTCTCAATTCTCAGTCATCCAGCTCATAGTTATCCCAAAGATGCTTTTTCATGAGGCAACTGGATTTTCTTCATTTTCTTTGAAGATGCTCTGAGCTGAAGAAGCTTCTTGGATGAGAAGCAAAACATCTTCACAAGAAAAACAAAGTCCAGTTGCCTTGCCAAAAAATCTATGAAAGGTTGCCATATTCTTTGTTTGAAAGATATACCTTTTTAAATTTGAAATGTTTAAAGTAATATACAAAACAAACAAAATAATTTGACAATCAGGCTCAGACACACGCCTTCCTAATTCACAGCAGCATAAGAAGTTTTTTTGAGGGGTGGGGAGATATGAGACGTGTAAGATTTTCTTATTACCTTCAGTTGTTGTTGTTAATGGCGAAGTCATGTCCGACCCACCGAGACCCCATGGACAACATTCCTCCAGGCCTTCCTGTCCTCTACCATCTTCTGGAGTGCATTTAAGTTCACGCCTACTGCTTCAGTGACTCCATCCAGCCACCTCATTCTCTGTCGTCCCATTTTTCTATTGCCCTCAATCTTTCCCAGCATTAATTACCTTCAGTCTCAATCTTTAAAAAAAGTGTTAAGAGTCTTCTTGTGGAGTTGACTTCTTGGTCTGGTCTATCAAGTGGGGTTGATCCTGAGGACCTTTCATGGCCGAGGAGGGGCTGGACCTTAGGTGTCTTTGTTACCTTCTCTGCACTTTCCAGGCTCTTACCATCATTTTTTCTATTGTGGTAACCAGAACTGGAAACAGTATTCGAAGTATAGTCTGACTAGCATAGTGTGAAGTAGTACTATTAATTCTTGCCTTGACACAATCCTTCTTTTGATGCAGCCTACGATTGCATCAGTTTTTTTGGCAGCTGGAGCACCTGACTGGTTCAAACGTATCCACTAGAATACCTAGATTCCTCTCACACTTACTAATGTTGAGCCATGTACTATCTATTCCTTACCTTTGCATCTGGTTTTTCCTACCTAAGTGTAGGATCTTATTTTATTCACCACTGAACTGCATTTTCTTGGCCCAATGTTCAAATGTGTCAAGATCCTTCTGGATCTTGAGCCCATCTTCTAAAGCAGACATGTCAAACACAAGGCCCGGGGGTGGGATGTGGCCTGCAAAGTATTTCATGTGGCCCGTGAAGCCATCCTGGAAACAGTGAGGGAACAGTCCCCACTGCCTTGATCTTGGCCCAGACCGGGAGCCAATGTACAATTTTGTGGTGGCCATCTATGCTGAAATGCATTCAGTCTTAGCTCCACAAGGCCGTCTGGAAACAGCAAGGAAGCAGCCCCTGCCGCGTTGGCACCACCCCCTGGGTGCATGCTGGGGAAGTGTCACCCTTTATGAGGAATGAAGAAATGCACCATCGCCTGGAAGTGGCCAGCAAATGGCCCTCACCTACTTCACATATCCAGATTGATGAGCTCTGCCCTGGTCCCACCCCTTTCTGCCAGAGACCCTCAGATCTGTCCCACTCCTGTCCAGGCCCGCACAGGCATCCTTGACATGAATGATGTAGAGCTGGCCAAGCCCACCCAGTACACCACACCCTCTCTATCCACGACCACCCAGTAGGCCGCACCTAAGGGCAATTGCAATGCTGATGCGGCCCTCAATGAAATTGAGTTTGACACCTCTGT